CAAAACAGATGATACTGGATAGTGACAGAATAGAACATTATAACTTGATATAATCATACAGTGTCATCTTTAAAATGAATGGAGAGTAATTGATTTCGGAAGCTTTTCAATGAACCCATTTTTTGCATGCTGTATTGCATTATTATAAAGCCTAGGAAAGCAGACATGCAATTACAACTAATCACTCAGTCGTTATCCACATATAATCATTGCATTATAAACAAGAAAAGCATTGATGCAAAGCATCAAATGGCGTCCAAGCAAGAAATGCAGCAAGTGAAAACGAACTAGTAGACATATGATGACAAGATATTCTTATAAACTACCAGAAATGTAGATGACTTATGAATGAGCGGACGAAAGACATTGTTCATTATGAACTTTGATTGGCATGCTAGAGATTAGAATATTACTTGTTATTTCTTTATGATCGTGGTTATTAATAGCAACGAATATACATGTATACAATCATTTATAATCCATATGTGTAACGCATGATCAACACGTACCACACCTTTGTAATTGTCCCTTATTATGTTATCGCTATTAGCGAAGACCCCCTCTTAAGGTATCTGTTCACACTTAGTAAAAATATGACACTGGTTATATTACCATGTTGATCATGTTGAGCATAATTGTTTATTATACAATAATTGTAATATCTATTAATTTTAATAAATAAAATACAAATTTTATGAATATTGTTTTCTTTTCTTTTTTGTGTTTTATGTGCTATTTTAATACTTAGTTTTTACTACTCTTTTTTTATTAAAATTGTAAAATAAATTTTAAGAATTCAATTGACATATTGACCGATGATTATAAGTCAAAACTTAACTGGAAAAACTCGGTGAATTATGGTTTATCTTTCAATATATAATATTGTTTATTCTTAAACCATGTACATATACATTTGTATTTTTCTTTATCATTTTTTAAATTATCAATCAATTGAATAATTCATAAAATCTAATTTGTAACTTTGAATAATTCCTCGGCATCTTTACTAAACACGGATAACAAATTAAATAAAATGTTTCAAAGTTGATAATGTCATATTAATACCAAAAAAATGTACGTTTTTCTCAATTATTGTACATATTTATTGGTAGATAAAATGAAACATGCTATTGTTGTTGTTTTTTTTTTAATTGTAACGATATCAAACATCTACTCCAAAACCGGGAGAGACCGGACAATAAACGTGTGGTACTATTCGCCGGTCACTAGTAAATCCCGGTCAAAATAGGCCGGGAGAGACCGGGAATTACCGATAGGAGTGGTAAATAGATATATCTAAAAATAGATTTTCGGAATATTTAGGCCATCAACTGACATGTACAACAATAACATACCATGATAACCCACTGTGTGCTACAAAATGATAAATAAAAAAACCCGAAGAGCGCGATTTATTGACGGAAAAGGTTATTTCATTTGAAAATGTTTGCATTGCGAAATTCTCCAGTTCGCTATTCATCGTAACATATCGCGACATTTCATTCTTAATTAATAATCAAGCACCCTCATACCGATCGGAATGATCGGCTTTTATTATGACCGACTAAAAGGCTCGAGAAGTTGCTGTCGCCCTTTCACAAAATCTGATTTCATTCCATAAGGGCGCCGCGCTTCTGCGCGGACGCCAATATCTTGGTGCCATTCCACGCATGCGCAGTTACCAAAAAGGCAAATCCTACCAACAGGTATAATTCCCCCCCCCCCCCCACTTTTACACTACTATTATAATTCAGTTAATAAAACTGCGATGCTTCAGATGTTTATGTATAAAATTTCAGTTATTTGTTAGAGAGAAAGCTCTACTGTCATTTTTTTTGACACCATGTGCCTACATTAGAATTTTAATCAAACGTCAAACATCATGTTGTATGTATTGTACATACAGTTATTATCTATCTACATATTGCATTTACAATTGTTTTGTTATAATTGTAGATTTTAAGCCTGATCACATATTTCTAGCAAACATGCGGCTTCTTTGATCTAAAACAGTTACTATTCTAATTTTCTAAAATCTTATGATTGATTTATACACTAACCAGTGCATAAGTGTTGTGCAATTCAAAGATTTACATCTATTGAACGTCATTTTAAAGACAGATGTAATATTTTATGAGGCGTAACAGACATGTTAAATGAATTATATATTCAAGATGCGTTTGATCAAACTGATATTTAAAACACAATCAATGTTATGATAATTTTCTTCGACAGATTCAGCATTTAATTTGTTGTGCAAGATATCGTTTTGATATCTTTTTCAATGCTTAGTTAAAAATATTATTTTTGGATACATTTATATGAAAATTACTTACGTATATTAGTTTGACAGATAGTGTACGCATTTTATAATTTCCTCCGGGAATACACTTCCGTTGACGATGTACACATAAATATCAATATACTTTAGCGCACAAAATGACAAGACAGCGGTACAGCGGCTCATGGTAATAAAAAAAACAATGCAGGTAATCAATATCAGATTAGATGTAAAAATATATATTGTATTCTTGTAGAATTGGTTTTGATGTTAAAGCTTCTCGAAGTTCTTTTCCACATTGTTTAACAACTGGTTGTGCATACATATGTGTTAAAGAAACAAGAACAAACTACGTGTTTCTCTTTGAGTCATGCGTACCACGTAATAATCTTAATATAGTAACAAATATATTTATATAACATTACATTCAATAATGTTGTATAATGGATTTAGAATATGTGAGATGCATTTTACCTGAAGAAATAGTTTTACATGTGCACTATTTTGTGATATTTAAAAATATGTAGTTTTACTTCCATTCAAAATACTTATTCACTTTATCAGTACTGATTGTCAATGTGCAAAAGACGCAAAATATGCCTCAGCTATATGACCAACGTGTTACTTTTTAGAAATTGTAAGACGATATCAAATTATTTTATAAGCTTAAAATTATAGAAATCATAGCATTCGTAGGCTTAATGGCCCTATAAAATTGTAGATACAAATGCTTACGACTCAATAGCATCGGATGTTAAAGTCGACAAAATTATTACCTATAGTGGTTGGAATTCTATCAAGGGACAATTAATGTTGTAAAATATATAGTACCATCCTATTTCGACGTCCCTTGACATATCATTAGGTAAAGAAAATAATTTGTACATAACCCTTTCCTAGTATAAACTTCTCTGTATTTGACTGACAAGACAAATAGAACTTTCTTACATAAAATCCTAGTGAGACGCATTTGATGGATTCCTTGAGAAGATCAATCTAAAAAAGTTTTCTCAATTGCAATAGCTTATAGAAATATATTCAATTATTTCAAAATCAACTATCATCAAGTTATCAATTTATCGTGTAAATCAAAAAAAAAGCAACAACAAAAAACACATTTAACATGTTGTTTTACACGAGAAATAATAAATGGTGTATTTTAATGCCTTTGCTTTGTTAAGAAAACCGTTGTAATATAAAAATGAAATGAATAACGAGGTATAAAGTAAAAAAAAGCAAACACTATCGAATACGTAAAAGTGTGAAAAGGCAAGCTATTTACTGATATGTTATCTTTTAGGTCAAATATCAATTCTTTTTAGACAGTTGTTAACATTAGGGTCTGAAAGTACTCGTGGTTTGATCCCGTATGCCTAGAAGAATATAACTTTTAAGACAGTAAATAACTTGCTACACGAGAAGCAGACACACACACGCGCAATACACATTTACATATATTATACACGTTTTGGAGAAAAAAGAGTTTTATTATAACAATAAAATCATTTGGACAGTCATGTTAAATATAAATTATATACAATTCTGAAATCCCTTAATACTGTAAGGAATTTTATTCAATCCATTCTTTGGAAAAACAAACTTTTACTTTGAGTTTTGCCTTTCCATGTATCATTGTGTGTTTTTTTTCCATTTGTAAAAAAGCAGATGTAGATGTGTACATTTATATTCCAGTGTGGTTTTACTTCATTTGTTTAAGTCCTTAAATTTCCGTAAAACTTTAGGTATATCTAAATTGTTTTAAAGATAAATTTTATACAATCAATCAAATGAAGACTTCCGTAAATTGATATAGTCGAAGGACGTGTATATATGATCGCTGGTGAATAATAAGATAGGAAATGTAACACTCGACTCCTTATATGTGTTACGCTTTGTGTGACAAGGCACTTTATCTTTGACAAATCTACGCATTAAATTATTTAACAAATTGAATCAAACACCATTTATTTTAACATGATGCGCTCTATAAAAAACAGATGCTAATAACAAATTTTAAAAGCCTTTGTATTAAAGACCCTGTGTGTTGTGATCACAGTGGTTAACCACACTAAGTGAACTTATACATATGTACATAATTATGCAAATGAACAATTTTCAAAGAATATGTAAAATATGTACTACAAATATTTGTGCATATTATATATAATCATTAAAATATATGCATTCATTTCTTATTGTAAAATTTGACTTTATAGAATTTTTTTTTTATTAACTCCTTTTATTTACATGAATGTTAAATTCGGCTATTTCTTTATAAATAATGCTTTTTGGAACCTACAATATTGAGCATCATATTTATGATTTAAAACCATAAAAATTGTGTGACAGGATCTTTAAAAAAGACAGTTAAAAGCTTTTTATTTGTTTGCTTTTATTAATGCGTTGATGTTTGTTGTTCTTGGTTTGTGTTTAGTTAACTGTTTGAAATGGCGAAAGTCTTTATAAAATATGCTTTTGTTCATAGTGTTCAAACAATTTAAACTTACAAACATCTGTGTTAAATAAGATATGTTTTTTTTTTTACAAAGTTAACGGTGGTCCGGTATTTAAGATACAAGATTTCCGTGTACATTCGGTTTTCAAAATATTTATTCACTTCATACTGTTTTGTATCAAATGTAAGACCATAATTATCTATAGAACTTGTTGTATAATTGAAATCATTTGATCATAGTAAAGATCATTATGACAATGAAAAGAAGCAAACAAAAAATTTGCACATATATAACTTATAACTTGGTTTGTCAAATACCCGTGTCACTTTCGAGACTCCTTTAAATGGTTTTGAACGGTCATAAACATTGTTTGACCTATTGATATATATATTTTTTGCAAGGTCTTTAGGATTATTTTTCAATCAAAATGCAAACACATGTATTTTATCGTCCATTCATTCATGCAATTTTTATTTTAAAGTAAAATGATAAAATTATGATAGAATAACATAACTATGGAAACATCTTATGTTCACATTAAGACTTTCCAAATCTATTTTTCAAAGTTGAACATACACCATTTCTGCAGAGTTGTCTCTGTTTTCATTATTTGTTTCACAGGCACGTTGGTTACTTCTTTCAATTTCAGTTGGGCGACCTATATTGATGTTTTGATTCATTTCTGCAAGCGTAAAATCACCATTAGATGGCGCATTCAATCCTTTCGCTCTATATGTTTCTAACATAATTGTTTCTTGATCAGTTATTTTTCTATTAACTAACGGTAGACCAGAGTGCCTACGGGGTAAAAACGGCTTTGCCTCATCACCTGAATTAACATTGGAAGTATTTACGGCTTGAGCTGTAGTCACTTCCTCTCTAACATTTCCTTCTATGAAGTTGGTTTCATTGCCTGTTTCAACAGTGCGGCGGCGAGAATTTCCACCGTTTGTTGCATTTACACTCACAAGACAATTATAGCCCCGTCTTGAACTTGTAAACGTTTTTCCAGATGTTACATCGAGATTTGTCTGTTCAGATGAGAGTTGCGAATTTTTAACTTTGCTGGTCATCGTAAAGCATTGGCAACATCGAGTGTATACATAATCAACACAATTAATTCGTCTGAAATGAGCAATAATTGAAAATTTTAATCATTATAGAGTTCTTTTTTTTCGTTGTAGTAATCTACACAGCAACATATATATTCGAAATAACAATTAAATATGTAGTGTAACAAACTTAGTTACCTGTAATAAAGTTTAATATCTAATGCCCCGGTCACATATTCACGGATAATGCCACGGAAGAGCTACGGTCCAATTGTTTACGGATTACTACGGAAATGTGAAATTCCGTAGTCCGCTACAGTTCCAGTACGGACACACAACGGTATGAGTACGGAGTTCGACGGATTTACCACCAAAAGCCCCGGGAGAGACACGGATTGTTACGGACCGACACGGTTTGATACGGAGCGACACGAATCAGGACGGACACACTACGGATACACTACGGTCTGCTACGGTATAAGCACGGGTTAGTACGAATAAGTACGGTCTGATACGGAGAAGGACGAATTGATACGGAGAAGAACGAATTGCCACGGATCTATACGGACCTATTATATCCGTCCACAACCTCTTGCATGCTCAATGTCTCACAAGAAAAGAACACCTGGAAAACAAATAGCAGAGTTCAATGATTTTGGCGGAAATGATTCGGCCTCATCGCGTCCGACCCCCGAGACATATCAGGTCTGATTATAGTGAATTTCTTGAAGGACGCCGGATCCTCAACAAGTTCGGCCATGAGAGCCTCATACTAAACATGAAGGGGTCTTCGTAAAAGCCCATCTCTAGTCAACCATCACTTCTGTCTTCTCTTACCTGATTAGATATGGACCAGTAATCATTAATGAAAAATGTTGATCAATACTGCTTCTCTTTTGATTTTAAAATGTGCTGTTCATTTACAATTACATTAATTATCGTGAATGTTTATGTTTTAAGAATATGTAAAATGCTTGTTAATTAATCTAAGTATCATTCAAGGGCCAGCGTCCGAGGCTTATGAGACACTTCGTTTTATGTACATATTTACTCCAATTTCACAATTCAATGGTTTGTAAAATATACTTATGCATTGTTGTACGATATTAACATATTTTTTTTACCTCTATGCATGTCATGAAGCAGCTTGACCACTGCCTCCGTATTCTGAGCCATATCAATATACAGTTGCAGCCAGTTAATGGCAATTATCATTTATTGAATGTTCACACAAATATCTGTTTTGAACAAGCAGGCGGTATTTGTACCTTTGAAAAAGTACATGATACTTAATTTATCCGTACTAAACAGTGGTGGACCGTACCATTCCGTACCGTTTCGTGATGCAACGCAATAAACCGTAAAAGACCGTGCTAATCCTTGCCTCTCCGTAGTACAGCGTATTACGATCGTGGCTTTCCGTGATAATGCCGTATTAATCCGTATTAAAACCGTAGCTTATACGTAGGGTAACCGTACACATACGTAGTTCTCCGTACCAAACCGTGGACAAGTTGGGGCCTACGAATCAGTACGGACTAGAACGGTTTACGTACGGACAAGTACGTATCAGTACGGTTTAATACGGACTAATAGGGATACGCTACGGTTGGTTTTTCCGTAGCAAATTTTTGTGCATGTTCAAAAATTGTCAAGGATCGCTACGGATATACAAGGACTACTACGATTGATTACGGTTACAATACGGAGAGCTACAGACCAGTACGGGTAACTACGGACGATGCTGGAATTAATCCGTGGCTCTTCCGTAGGCGTTTTCCGTGAATATGTGACCGGGGTATGACGTAAACTAAAAATAATGAACAGTGGTTATTAAGTTACCTGAAAATAAGAAAAAGTTAGATATCTAAGATTAGTCAATATACTGACCTTAAATTTTGACATATCCTCGTACTAAAAAATCCATATATCATAGGGTTTGCTGCAGAATTTAACGGAGCAAGACTTTGAACCAAGGATGTAATACTTCGCTCTGTGGCAGACTTTTGTCTTTGCCTGAACACATCGGTCAAGTTGAACACAAAATAAGGGCACCAACATAGAATAAACACTGAAATAATACGTCTAGATTTCAAAATCAAACTCTTTCTTATTAATTTAACATTTAAATTAGCCCAAATCAAATTAAAGAAACTCAAATAAATTATCTTAAAAACGTTGTTTTTGTGATGAGTTCTTAGGTGGGACAAAAAGTTCACTTATTTCTGGGTCAATACAAGAACAAACATATCTCGAAAAATGATCCCTCAGAAGCATTAAAAACAGCAAAATGACATGAACATTGAAGACTCGGTTTGATTGAGTCTGTACATGAGAGATAATGAAAATGTGCAACATCCATCACGCCCCCTAGCACCGGCTTGAGCGATACTCTATTCTAAACACTCAAAAGTGCTGAAACCTCTTTAAAACCTCACATTATTTTAAATACATAAATCTAATATGCTTTCTAAAATTATTTCATTATCAGCATCAACTTATGATGTGCGATGATATTTCAATCATGGTGCCTATTTAAATGAAATGTATTGGCATTTAAAGATATAGTTTATTGAGATGATTTTATTTCATGAAATAAATAAAATGCATTTGCAATACAATCATTTAAAGAAAATGTCAGAGTTTTGAATACAATTGTATTTAACGTCGAATGGTTAAAGCAACATTTGAAGAAATATTTTTTTACAATTATAGCGTATTCAAATCCTGCAAGTCCATTTGTAAATTTTCAAAATAATATTTAACTTCAGGCGACTTCACGTCTGAAGACAAAACAAATGTGTACAGTGATTATATGTTTGCTCAAATTATGTTTTCACTTGTCTATTCCTTTACATAACTCGAATAACCATTAATGTCTAAATATGAACAAATATATGAGCCGCGTCACGACAAAACCAACATAATGGTTTTGCGACCAGCATGGATCCAGACCAGCCTGCGCATCCGCGCAGTCTGATCAGGATCCATGCTGTTCGCTATCAGTATCTCTACGTGGTATAGGGTTTGTAAGGGAACATCATGGATCCTGATCAGACTGCGCGGATGCGCAGGCAGGTCTGGATCCATGCTGCTCGCAAACCCATTATGTTGGTTTTGTCGTGACGCGGCTCATATCACGATGCAGATTTTTAACGAGAACCTGTCTGATTGCTAACTAAGAGTATGAAACCTACCACAAACAATAACCATGGTCATTTTAATTGTTTTGACTTTTGCCTGGGGGATTATTCCTTTACTGCCATATGGTTTAGCAACATCAGATTCTGTAAGCATATCAAGATTAGAATTGGAATCATTAAAGGATAATATTTCTGTTTTTCATTTAAATTTCTCAAAATTTACCACTATGAAATATAAAAATATTATACAACTCATTTTATCACACAATTTTACTACAATAACAACAAACAGAAATAAAAATCATGCATAATGATAAACATAATAATAATAATAATAATAATAATTAGAAGAAGAAGAAGAAGAAGAGGAGGAAGAAGAAGAAGAAGTATAAAAACATTATGGAGAAAAAGAAGTATAGAATAGAATATAGAAAACCAAATTCGTTCGAAACACAACAAACATACAAACTAACAAACAATAGTGCAATATGCCGAGACAGTCATCATTTCTTCACCTTAACGTAGGCGCTAAAACGTCAAAATATATGGAGTTGAACATTTAACCAATTACTTCATGAGCATTTTGTAAAAAATGGCTGTTTTCATTGAAAAGTCTCCCGTTACAAGTTCAAATTGCTATAGAACTATAAAACTGTTTCAATACTAATCAAACTTGGCACAAATGTTGACTTGACCATTGCCTTTGTAACAACACGCTCAGTCTTAAATTTCCTGTTACCATGGCAACGAGGGGACATCCAAAAATCACTATTTTGAGTTGATTTTTTCCATCAAAATTGATTTCAAAGAGCTGCAACTTCTCAAAGGATTGAGATAGACTCAAATGCTTTTCAGCGTTGGTTACACGTTACCTAATGATCAATCTGGGGTCATTTTGAGCCTCTCACAAGTCCAAAATTTTCTTGGCGATGAGGGGGACAGCCGCCCCCTTCAACCCCCCCCCCCAAAAAAGCAGAAAGGGGCACATCCCCCTTCTGGCAACCCCCTGATGTACCTTTGGTTTGGGGCCGCGCCGAAAAATAGTCACTTTTTTATCAACATTTCTCAAACGAAAACAATGTGTTTGAGGCCCAAAAAGGACATTTTTTCACTATTTGAGGCCTTAAAGAGGGGGTGGTCGAAAGTGCGTTGTTTCGCGTATATATGAGGTAAAGGGTTAACAAAAAATGATGAAAATACCTGAAATTACCCAAAATCGCGTTTTTCCATGTTTAAACATGGCCTAACATATAAATTTGAAGAAAAATTGTTGTTTTGTAGAATTTTTTATTTTTTTCATTAACAAAAAATGATGAAAATACCTGAAATTACCCAAAATCGCGTTTTTCCATGTTTAAACATGGCCTTACATATAAATTTGAAGAAAAATTGTTGTTTTGTAGAATTTTTTTATTTTTTTCATTAACCCATTACTTCATGAGCATTTTGTGAAAAATGACTGTTTTCATTGAAAAGTCTCCCGTTACAAGTTCAAATTGCTATAAAACTATAAAAACTGCTTCAATAATAATCAAACTTGGCACAAATGTTGACTGGACCATTGCCTTTGTAACAACATGCTCAGGCTTAAATTTCCTGTTACCATGGCAACGAGGGGACATCTCAAAATTGCCAAAAATCACTTATTTGAGTTAATTTTTTCCATCAAAATTGCTTTCAAAGAGCTGCAACTTCTCAAAGGATTGAGATAGACTCAAATGCTTTTCAGCGTTGGTTACACGTTACCTAATGATCGATCTGGGGTCATTTTGAGCCTCTCACATGTCCAAAATTTTCTTGGCGATAAGGGGGACTGCCGCCCCCTTCAAACCCCCCAAACAGAAAGGGGCACACACCCTTCAGGCAACCCCCTGGTGTATCGTTTGGTTGGGGGAGGGGCGCCGAAAAAGTGGTCACTTTTTTATCAACATTTCTCAAACGAAAACATGTGTTTCAGGCCCAAAAAGGACATTTTTTTCACTATATGAGACCTAAAAGAGGGGGGCGGGTCGAAAGTGCGTTGTTTCGCGTATATATGAGGTAAAGGGTTAAACTCATTTTTTTACAAGTATAACGTTTTCTCAAAATAATTAGTAAACACATGCGATTAAGCAAAATTTACCAACAACAATAAGTGTTATATTAAGGGTATTTTACTATTATAGGACATTTTCCTAACAAAACAACTGTCAGTTCGTTAAAACATACATTAAACCAATTGCGCATGAGCACTGAATTGACACAATTAATGTAAACGATTAAACACCGATCTTTGGAAATAATTCAATTAAGAAAACCTCTTAAACGAGGTTATAAATGTACTTTCATGTGCAAATCAAGGTTAAAACATATGTCCCACAGGTTAAAACATATGTCCCACGTATACTTACTGTTTCGATATGGAGACTGCAGAGATTTATTAAAGCCACGACCTTTATCCCATATAACAAAAATGATTATTCCATAACATATGATTATGATTAATGCAGGTATGATAAAAGCCGTCATTGCAACCAGAACTATATATACCTGAAATATATCAAAAATGAAACATGTGTTTTGTTTTTACATTGCTTTTATAACACACGTTTTATATGAAAGAAAAATCCACTTCTACTCCTTTTTTAAATATAACTAATTATAATGAATTTGTTTAATATCAAAATTTTGCTAATTCAAAGAACAAGTTATTAAACAATATTATTCTGTATGTATATATAATCATGACTTAATTTGTAAATTTTGAATAAATAACATAGAAACATGTATTAGAAAGGAATTGCTTAAGAAAGCCTAAAATCTCGAAATTAAAAAAAAATGCTGATTCAGGACATTGTAAAGATTCTTTCACAATAAATTTCTTTTTTAACATTTCCTTCAATCGTATTATAAGACTGAGTTTGTATAATTTGACAGTAAACTATGCTTACCTGCCAATGCCATAACTGATGCAGTTGGGTTATTATGCACATATCCCCGTCTGTATGATGTAAAATATCCCACAGAAATAATGATGGGATGGAGAATACACCGCCAATAATCCATGCAGCATATACCAAAATTCTTACAGTTGTGGCTGAAATTACAGATACATAAAACAGGATATAATTTTCACAGGAAAAGATAAACAAATGTTATCAATTAACTGGGTGCAAACTAAGTAAGACGGTACAGACGATGAGTCACTCAGATTCAATGTAAGTATGAATGCATCTTTATAAAACTAAAGTTATTATCAACCGCTTTAAATGCTTAAAGGAACTTCACTAAGGTTTTCATTTTTGACATGACAGGAATAAAAATAGTGTTTCTACATGTACTTTCCAATTGAAGAACATCTAGACCAATAACATGCGTGGAAAATGGAAGATCAATTGCTCACTCCGTTCTTTGTTGCAGAATAATTATTCTAATTGTGAAAATTGACCCTAGATTGAAAAGCGTTACAAGGCTTTTAGTTTGTTAGACTTTAGTGGAGTCAATGAAAAGTACTTGAAATGATACTGACAAAAATTACTGACCCTTCCTTGTGAAGTTCATTGGTCGAGCAATGGCGTCTACTCTGTCTATACTTAATGCCACAACCATAAATGTGGAGGCATACATAACCATAACCTGAAAATTATATAAATAACTATGGAAAATTAGAAGCACAATTACATTGTTGTCCAATTTATATTTGTTTATGTTTTGAAATTAAGTTAATCTACCAGAAATGGGCACTTATCGAAACAAGCAACTGTTGAATGGAAGACTTTAGTATTCAATGTAAACTATAAGATCATAATTAACATGTATTGCATTACAAAAGTTGATACGAACGTTACAGCAGTAATTTATTTTTTCCATGAATAGAAAAAAAACGTGATTTCAAATGTCTTTGTGTTTCATCTCCAAAAATGACAATAAACAATTAAATAGACAATAAACCATTGCTCTGGTAATGACGTATAGATATCGTTCATACAACGTTGTCGATCTACATGTCAGTGATATATGTATACACATTTCATACAAAATAACAGGACCAAATGTGAGCTGTGTGTTTTGTATTGCAAAAAAGGAAACATTATTGCTAAGATATGTATTGATCATTTTAAGTACAAGTCCTGAAAAAGTTTATGCATAAATGTAATGGTAAATTACTATTATTATTGTCTTTGTTTTTAGAATGTTTTATTTTTAAAGTAAGTTATGTTTGCTATTTTGAAAACATAATCATTTTATAAATGACAATTGCCGTTTAAAAGGTTTATATTGTTTTAACATTTTAACTGTAATCATTTATGTTGCGTGAAAACTTAGGGAGTCGTATTAAAAGAAAAAGATGTTTGCAGTAGCTTTACCACTTGATTTTCAGAGACTGATCTTTGCGTCCTTCTTGTCATAAAACACAATTATCTCTCGTGAATACGGACATGTCAATTGTTTAATTCTGAAATATTTGACAGCTGTTCAAATTATTATCCGCAGGAGAATTATAATGAAGCGCTATGGAAATGACATGACTCTAACGCTATAAAGTATAGTAATGTTTACTATTTTATGTTACAAAATGAAACAAATCTACAATGTAAGGACACTCAGCAGGAGTGAAAGTGTCCTTTTTTTACAAGACATATTGAAAGGTTTGGATGTTTTTTTCTTGCATATCAGACTGCCGTTTCCGTGAGTTTTACCCATGCCGGAAATTTCATCTGGCATGGGGGGTGCCAGATGAGTCGCGTGCTGTACAATGGCGCGCTCAGGATGACGTCATTTTACCGTGATGAATGTAATTCATACGCTGTTGTAAGAAAGTAGTTACGGTTGTAATTATATAAATTTCCGTGGAATTAAAGATACAGAATTTAAAATATAATGGACTATGGTAGAATATGCAAGAAAAAATATCTGACATATGTTTGCGGTTCTGATCGGAATATCCGTTTCGAGGTGACCCGCCCATTGGGCGGTAACGAGGCTTGCAATAACAATTGTAAAATTACCTGTAGGAATTTTACAACCTTGCAGAGAATTACCCCTCCATGCCAAGTCACTAGGATGTGTTGTGCGATATCTCCTGTAACATGAAACAAACCCACAGTCAAGTCTGAAATAAAATAAAGGTGATTTACATAAAGCAAGTGGAATAAGACAATTTATTTTTTAGAAGATTTGTTTTGATCTTAAAGATGTCAAACTTTCATATTTTACCGTTATAAGTCAAATATTTGGTCATAAAGAAACAAGTAACTAAAAAAAATATTAAGTCCATAATAAAAAAGCAAACATTTCGGACAACAAAATGATAATATGATGAAACATTAACTAGAAATAACCAGAAAAAGCAGTCGTTAGAATTATGTTTTGTGCTATAGAATTCTGATTTAGTAATAGATTAAGCTATTCAATGGCAAAAATTGCAAGATAAGCAACACATCTATTAAAATATTTACCAAAAGTTACTGACTTATTACTGACACATGCACATACTAGTTAACTCATAAACAAAAAGTGATTAACTCAACCAAACTACTTAATTTTAGAAATATAAACGAAATACAATTGAATAAAGAAATACTCACCAGAAATAGCTAAATTGGCAATGAAAACATTCATTCGAGTTTTCCGTCCTTTATTTGACAACCCAATGGCAACAAGTACGGTCACGTTCCCAAATACGATGAAGATAAAAAGGACGACCAGAAGTACGACTTGAGGTTCCTGTAAATATAATTAAATGCAAGTATTAACATTTTATTTGGACTTATAAAACGTTATTAAAGGACGTCAGAAAACAATATACGTAAGGAAATTGAAAAATAGTCAGAAATTATGATGGCTTCTTACAGAAAGCGTTGTTACAATGGATTTGGCTACTCATTGTAAATTCAGATTTTCATAAACCAGGATCGCAAAAATGTTCACGATTCCATAATTGTGTTGCAATTTCTTTTCAGTCACTTTAGTAATACTTTTTATAATGGAATGAAATAACCGACAAGCTCGTTTTGTTGCGCATAACTTCTTGTAAAAAGACAAACAAAAATACTTTGTACTGTTGCTGTATTTTATTATTTTTTTTGCAGAAAAGAAAATTACAAAACTGCTTTTAGCGCTTTTGTCAAAATGATTATAATGCAAATTCAGCATGGTGAACATTCTTTATGTTTTGCACAAATGTTAAGAATAGTTTTAAGTTTATCATTATTAAAAATAGTTTGATGTTCCGATTACATTTGACAAAATCTGACGGGTTTTCTTACCCCACCCTCTATCTATTTGATTATAAATGACATGCATCTGTCTCAATAAAGCAAAAAAATATTTTCATATACATTGTAAATTGATTGAGTTGTCGTTATTTAAACATACTTTTTTATTATAACTTTTCAAGTAAGGAAGATATTAGATAAGTGAATCTGTTCTACAGATAATGAAAACAATTGTTGCTGTTGTATAAAACCGATACAAAATTTGATCTATAATTGTCAATATTTTTCAAACAAGATGGTAAACTTTAGTATTTTTTGTATTTATGTTCAGAATATTGTAATTCAAATTTTCATATTATAAAGTTTTAAACGTCTTTTGAATAAGTGTTTATTATACATCTAATAACTTAGATAATACCCAGTAAGAAATCAGTTAACAGTATCATAATTGTTCAAATTTCAAATTTATTTCATTTCCGAAGCCTTTGTCTATTTAACGTAATATACTGTTTGTAGTAAAGGTCATATGTACATTAAAAATTCAACATTATAGTATAAATGACACATTTTTGAAATCGTCGCTGTAAAGTTAACATCCTACTTGAAATAATAGCATAGTATTTCCATCCGGAACAAAGTTTTATGTTAACCTACGATAACAATGTGTTTTATATGTTTAAACAGGCAGTCTTTGTTAAAATTCTTTTGAGAATCAACCATTTTAATTAAGATTATTTAAAAAAGCATAGTTTTACTTTTTGTCAAACAAAAAATCATTATATATAGCTTTTTATCCTTTTAGTAACATACTAATAAACAGATAAAACTATAAAATACGATATTTAGATTTAAATTGTATGTAACATATCGAAAACTAGTAACAGCATTACAATTACTTTGATTAAAAGTAAGATTTCTACAACAAGGAGTATATAATTCAAGACAGAATAAAGGGTTGTAAATTGGAATTCTGGAAGCAAATTAAGAGAGGCAAAAGGAAATGTATGAGATAAAATGAAACAGAGTACATGTACCGAAAATGTGTTCAATTTGACGGAAGTGTTTGAAAATATTTATGTAAAGTTTGCTTATGATGCAAATAATAGGCCTTGGATATTTTCTTTCTATCATTATTATTCTTATGTTTGCTGATAGCGTTTTGAAATCATGCCTCTGAATAATGTTAAAACCCATTTAAAATGTTCGATACTTCCTTGCGCTACTTTTGTTTCTAAAATAATAAATCATACAAACCTGCCAGAAAGTGACATCATCATAAACGTAATAGTAGTCAAAATATGACTCATTGTAGTCAAAGCTCGTATTGTTATCACTCGAAATATTCGGTTGATTTGTACTAATAAACTGTGAATCTCCCATGTTTAAAAACCTCTTTTAATTGAATAACAATTGATAATTATTCCTATATTCATGACACGAGTCCACGCACTTTCAAATGAATTATGTCATTTTGAGAAATTATCTCAAGTCATGGGATTTTATTGCCAATTTTCTGTTCCTAGTACACTTAAATTTTGCAATCCTTTTCTATATTAGAAAATAATCTCAGAAAATTCGCACTGTTTTAAACTAAACTGTTTCAACAAGGTGATAAATAATGTAAGATATTTCATACAAAACAAAGAAATTTAATTTATTCATTTTCAAGTTTGCCAATTTGTTTTCAAGGCAGTTATTAACGAGATAAAAACTCTTCTGTTAGTTTGATTAATGTGTGAGGTATACAATCTATTTTGTTTAAAGTTCAGACAAAATAATTCCTATCCATCTATTATGCTAAGCTCAATTTATTACAAATCCACCGTGGTATTTACTAATCATTTATCAGTCAACACAGCTGCCCTGACACGTAGCGTATTTATTCACCATTTGAAAGAATTGATTTCTCCATTCATCGCTTTTATAAGAAACGCTTGGTACGTCACTTGACGATACACCACAAATTTTCCAATAATTCTAATTAATAAACATACGTTTTGTTACCAATTTATATATATATCTCTTTTGATAAATATCGATGTTTCTAGGAAACACTCATTTTTCTTCGTTTATTACTTTCAGTATAAGAAAAAAAAGAGAAGTAAATGCATTTATTCCGAGTTTGATAATTATCAAAACATGCACAATTGTTCAATTACAATTATAAATATACATAAAAATAAGATAATAAACACACAAAAGTGACTAGCCCTGTTTGATCAAAGTAACTGTACATTCACCAATCTCGAGTAATAAGGAACAATCAAAGCAAAAAGCACAATCAATAATTTAAAAAATGAACACTTTTCTGGGCAATCATGATCATTATTCTCGTACAAATATTAAATTTGTAACAACATATTAAGTTAATCAACTTCTTTTCAAATCAATTTCAGTTCATTTCCGCGTGCAGTATTACAAATGTCAATCCTGATGGAGTTTGTTTCGGGCACATGTCAACATGTTCTGGAAACGGGAAATGACATTTTTGTGCAAAAGTATTAACATGATAAGATTTCAAAAAAAACTTTTTATCTCTTTTTTCAGTATTTTGTCAATATTGGACAATATTTTTTCATTATTTTGCGTTGCTTTTACTACATGGACACATCTGCGGATGTAATTGATTAGATACAAATGTTGACAGTGTCATGCTTTAGCAATTAACCCTCTTAAGCACATGTCATTTGGGGCATTTACCATTTTCTCTATGAACAAGCTCAAACTAACCGAGTCGGTAACATTTTGAAAGTTTCCGGTTGTTGATACATTTTTGACACGATAAACACAATTATATATGCACTTATACTGCGATTTTTTTACATTGTGTTAGACTTGATAAATTCGTGTCATACATGTTTTGCACACTTAACACAATTCGTGTTTGGGAAAAAAAATTGCAAACGTCACCATTTGATAATTGAAAACGAATATGTAAAGTGCCCTATTAGAGTGGAAATCTGTATGACCGACATGTCATATATACTTCACTTTAGTATTGCTATATTTTTCTGCTCCTTGGGGATAACTGATTCCAATATTTTTATTGTCCCGAAGATGATCTATCCGGTGCTAGAGGTTGTGATATATATGACTTTTGTGAAAAGATTTTTTTTCCTATTTCATTGATACTCACATCCCGCCTTATGCGAATAAAAGTTTATGATTATCACATATTACAATTTACATTGCGTGATTGTAACGTGCAACATTATTTTGTAATCACACATGGATACCACTTAATGATTTTGTCCGTTAAACTCCCGCTTGTCATTTATTTTTGAAATCAAGAAAATAAAATGGTTTTATAGATAGAGAAAATGGTTTCTGATACAATTTTATCCATGATCAAATGTAATGATATTTCAGATTGTATGCACTTATTGAAGAATTCAAATGCATTGCAAATTTATTCTGTTGTACAACTATACTGAGTATATACATTGTTTACAGTCCAGGAAGTATGCAATATGAAATATTTTCATTCATTAGAAAACAAACTATTCGCATCTTCTCGGCCCTTTCCGTCAAACTCCGTATAAAGCCTGGAACACAATTATAGTAATAATACACAGAACAGATAAGTTATCCAGTTTAGCCAACACTACAAAACTATATAATCATGCAAAGAAATAGTAAATAAAAATTACTTGTTGATGATTTAGTATATTCCGACCTATCGAGTAACAGGCCATCTAATATAAGGTAAAGCTGATTTTGATTGCCATCGACGTTTGCAATCATATTGTAACCGAAATATTCTTTATTTTCCTTTGGATGTCAAATTAATAAAGTCGATTTACATTATCAAGAATTACACACTCTGTATTTTATTACATCTAAAACCACGTAGTAGAACTACTTTCAAATCGTTTTACGTCCGAGACTATTATGATTGATAGACAAGGTGTTTTGATTGTGAAAGTACTTCCCTTAATTCGCTTTTAAAGATAGACGAAGTATATGTTGTATAACGCTTGATATCATAGAATACATAAAATACCAAATTATGTTACTATTGACATGATAAATATTAAAAGGTCTATAATAGTCTAGAAGTATATAACAGTATGCATATTTCACGATGATATATATGTTTATTAAGTAACAGGTGTGATCGAATTAAGCGATACAAATTATTTTGGTAAATTAATAAATGGTATATGTATCTATACTGGCATGCTTGATTCGCCTTTATCTGTAAATCAGTTTTTCTTTGTGCATATATAACGTTTCATTGTCATCTTGTGTGATTTAGGAGTGTTTTGAAATGTGGTTGTGTAAATCATTTCCGCCGTGTTTCCATTTAGCCTGTCCCTTGGCGTAGTAAATCATTTCTAATACAACATAAAGCTGTTTTTTTTAAATTCATCTTAACAAACAGAGAAATATGGTGTAACTTCATGCATTACAAATTAATTGTCACATTTTACAAAACGTGTTTCATTTTCAATGTTTAATCAATTTTTGATAAAATTGGAATCATTGTTTGCTTGGTTTTGCAATATTAAATGTTTTCACTGAACAATCCTGTCTTTGTTTCAATAATTCGGTATTAGTTGTTTAGCGTCTTAAAGACAATAGTACATTTGTAGAAACATGTGAATTTTAAAGATTTCTTTCTAATAACTTTTCGTTATATTACTGCGATAAAATTCTTGTTGAGCCGCTAAAATAAGTGTCGTGTAAAATGTTAAAGTTTTCATGTTTACTGGTATTATATCACGGAAGCCTAAAACATTTAAACGTAGATTTAAAGTGATTCTTTATAATAATATTATCTTGCATTTACTGTAGAAAATGCCAATAGCTGGGTGCAATAAAAGTGACGCTTAATCAGCAGTAAAACGGTCTAAGTGTCCATTAAATGTAGACATTGAAGATCATTTAACATTCTTCAATTGAAGCACTCTTCAAAAGCATCATACTGTGATCGTTTCGGTAAATAATGCGCCATATACATAACATATCTTAAATTAAAGTTAAGACACTGCAGCAGGCGTCTTCATCCAAAGTGCTTTTCATATAAAATGGAAGTCCATAACAAAACAAGCTGGCCAAATATTAATATATTAATATAATATTCTATTACGATCTACTTTGTTACTTTAAAAATCATTTAATTATATATGCCAAACTACAAAATCTCCAAGTAAATAACACTATTTCTCCTGAGCTTGGCTGTAAATAATTGAAAATTGAAACTACTTGCAAAACGGTTGTGTGCTATTCATGATATATTATTGATAAACCATTAATGCAACAGATTGGGATTCAAACAAATTTTGTGCAATAAACAAATTAACGAATAGTACCATAAACAGCTTCACCAAATAAATTTGACTGAATAGCGTTAACTGTACAAAATCCGTAACAATTAAAAATATACTATGCTCAAATTTAATATCAGGAATTATTGTCAATTGCTATCAGTCTCTTTGTAAATATAAAATAAACATGTTTTGACTTCACAAAAAGAAGATATTTCATGTTTAAAACTCTACACACTATAGGTGGTCACAATATGAATATATAGTGTTGTTAAGAAATGGCAGTTTTTAAAAGAAAAGATCAACTTTAGTTGTGGTAAAAGGCAACGCGACTTCCAATACATAGTTAATTCATTTTTTTATTCAAATAACACATATTCAGTATTCATATGTTTAATAAATTTCTTTGATTAAAATATTTTACTCAAAGATTGGCATAGTATATCTTTCAAATATAGAGGAAGAATGTTTTTGCTATTTAATTGGATGATTTCCAAAGATTCTCCAACTAAAAACATGCATTCTTGTCGTTATAATTAAACACATGCTTTTATTTGTTGTTTTTGTTCTCTAGTGTTTCTTAACTGAAGAGCACGAAACGACAATTACAAATGAATAATAATTTTTCCGTTGTCATTTCCTTGAATGCTTTATTTGTAAAGTCTCGATTTTCAGCACATCTGCCTTTTAGGTACGTCAATTTTCTGTCTTAAAGAAGATGTTTTTGAATTGTGTTACTTTTTGCTAATGCTTTGGCAAAAGACGACGTCATGCACTAATTAATTTAGTACAAACGCGATCAAACACATTAAAAGAGCACCATGTTGTATGGTATGGGACACACCCATTTTCTTTGTTCGGTATATTGAATCGCAATAGAGTATACACAGCATTGCATCAATATGAAAAATGCCCCCTTACACTTTAAAAAGGGCAAAACCATGAAAATAGTCCATATTTGTTGTATTTCTCTCATCCTTAAAATAGCCTTGTGCTACATGTAGTATAAATGCATTAGCTTTGTAATTGTTTGTTTATACATATTTTCTTTAAGTAAATAGGCTCTAAACATCCTTTATACAATCGTAACCTTTTGAATCCAATTAGGTGTAACTTGACAATTTATGTTATATAAAACAGATATTTTTTTTAAAAATAACAGTTAGAATAACCTTAATTCAGAAAATTCTATGAATTAATATTCGCCAACAGTAAGCTTAAATACATTATTTAATAATAAAACGTCATTTAATGTGAGGAACTCACAAATATTGCAAATGAAAAACCAACATATGTGTTAAAAACGGGAATATGCTAACTTATGACTAACGGTATATCCAAACAAATATGTATACGTTTATATAAAGGATGACGAATTACATGTAATACTTTACCGGTTCAAGACGTTATAGTTTGCTTTTTATCAATACCGATACAAACACATGTTTTCACATGTACAACAGCAGGTGTCAAGTGCCGTTTCGCAGCTGTAAAAAGTTGTCCCGTACTTCACTTCAGTGTTGTTATATTTTCCTGGTCCTTCGGGATCATTGATGCCAACACTTTTATGTGTTGAGAATTGAGTATCGCTTATTTCGATGCTAGGGGCGTGGGGGTTGTTGCAAATATTCAA